GTAGGGACATTAATAGGCTAATGATGATGATAATGACGTGGTGTTGTGTTTCTGCTGGTGAGTGGTGAGATTCAGGCTAGCAAGATGAGGATTTAGTGGCAGACCTTCTGCCATATCATCTATCTTTCCCAGTGGACTCCACTTACACTTAACACCCTGGTGTTCATCCCACTCCACCACTCGACAAACACAAAGACTCCACCTGTGTAGTGGAGTAATTTGTTGTGCCTCGTATAAAATAAAACATAGAAACATTGCAAGTAAAAGCTTTGAAAATAGCTTAAGAATCCATTGTAGTAGAAGAATCTTTTAGGTTAAATAAAAAGTTTGCCTCGTCCAGAATTATTATCGTATTGTATCTTTAAAATCGTATCGAATTGATACACCTCGAAAGATTTTGCAAGTATTTGAAGATATCATCTACTCATGTAAGCCAGTGTAACTTCTGAAGGGATGAAGAACAAATAATTTTCCAAGTGTGAACAAAGGCTTAGGTTTCAAGTTTTCTCATCATTACAAAATGTAGTGGCGCCACTGGTGCGGCGTAATACAGGGCTGACACCAAATACTTCCTTTATTCCTTATTTTAACACAGAGCAAAATAAATACGTACGGCTCTGAGACGAGGTCGTTGACTATGGGTCTCGTAAGAAGGCATAGAGTCGCACAGCGAGCATGGAGAGAGCTACTATAATTATAATAATAATAATTATCATCATTTATTTCAGACCGTATAGTCCATAGAGGTTTATTAACATTAAAACTTAGAAACTATGTTAGTACAATTCTATTTAACCTATTTTCTATATTTTATACATGTGGAGACATGAGATTGTACCCAATGTCTCCACAATGGGCTCTCCAATTTGCCTGCTATGACTGCCAAGATGCTGTAATAGCTACCCCTGACTCTGCGCATCAGTGACGCTACTCTTTTACACATAAAAGAGTTGTAACCGTCAACATGGGCGTCAGCAAACATCGTTGATGTGCTACAATATCGCGGCAGTCCATCAGCATCCTGAACTGACTATGTGTTACTCTATGTAATGGAATAAAAAGTGAGGATATTCGTGGAACAACTAAAATGGGGTTTGAGGGTAGGGAGGGAAATTTGAGTTGAAATGGACTCAGATCTATCATCCATCATGCATGGCACCTTATTTTTGAAGTCGGTAAAAGAAAAAAACAGGCGTCTTCCACCATCTTGCTAAAAAACATAGCCAATGTCATTCATGATGATGCAATGACTCTATCGATAAAGGACATTGCTCGTTCCCCTTACATTGAATGCCCTAGAACGCACAGCAATGAGAAAATTCTAGTTGTGTTCGCAATCATTCATAAACTCTAATGAGGCATTTGTTGAGATACGGACAACTTGAGGAACCGTGGCCTAGTACAGATTGTATTAGATGGTGGTTATAATTATTATACTTAATCGTAAAAGATGTACACTTTATATTATATTCTGAATAGATTTGGTGTTTACCTCTATGTAAGCACTTAAATAATATGCATTAAATGAACATAAAATACAATTAATAATAAAAATAATAAATGCTTATATTCATATTGATTTAGGAGTGTTGGTAGTTGGCACCTATGATACCTATATGTTGTAATAATAGATTTCTTTTCAAATGAAATGTTCAGTCTTTCTATTTAACCGTTTCTATATTTTACTATCGGTAATAAGGTATGTACCTGGTTATCATTATGATTTTCATAAAAATAAACAGATATTATATGGGATGGGAGTATAGACTATCTTTACATTATTTCAGAAATAATCTTTGTATAAATATAATATAAATACTAGTGACAAGTACTATTAACTAAGGTAACTAGTTCTATTCTTATGTTGATAAATACTTATGGTCGTCTATATTGCATTTATTAAGGTAAACAATCTTGGCACAACTTTTTAACAAAATCACCCATTTAAAAATAAAATAATAAGGAAGCCAATAAACTATTAAAATAAATCGTTACTATTGACTGAAACCTATTGAATCCAGTTATCAGTTGACTTTTAATGCTGTATTTTCAATAAAAAGGAGTGCCGAGGTTGTTTACCAAATAGGACAAGTTACGATGAACAGAACTTTTATTTTTTATTTTTTTAAACAGATTGTCCGTTTACTTATTAATTGCTAATAAATTAAAAAAATAATAGAATAACTATAGTGAAGGACATTCTTTTGGGCATGCTAGGGCCGATGTCGTCGATGTCCTTTACCCTTTAAAATCGATTAAGCCTTTAAGCTGCAAGATCTCATAAGAAAAATATATATACTTATGTATGTAAAAAAAAAATTTTTTCTGGCGCAGTCGGATATTATTTTTTTATTAAAATAACATTAAAAAAAGTCTTGTGCACAACCCTTGCGACACCTTCAAATTACTTACGCTAAGCATTGTGCGACGCGACTTCATTTAGTCTATTGCGTCTTTTTGGTGACATACGACTATAGACTTAAAGTTCACTAGAAATACCTAAATATTACCAAATTACCATTAAGAAGACCACAGTGAAATAACACTAACATTTGGTGATGTTGTGTCTATCGGTGAGTGCTAAAATTATAAAAGACGCCTTCAATGCTTTCAAAAAGTGCATAAATATTTCAAGATCAAATAAAAAAATCCACGGCATCACATTTTATTCTTAATATTATTTACTTAAATGTTTTTTTTTTCCAAAATCACGGATTACTATGTATATTATTCGCTCATAATCGCCATTTATTATTAAGAAAAGGACATCAATAGAGCCCAGCCCTTTGTAGAGAGAGAAAAGAAGACGCAGTCGGTTGCTAAGCGACACGGACTCGCCGCGCCGTCGCGTTGGCGCTGCGTTGAAGCGTAACGTTCTGTCTTCATCGCTCAATTAAATGTTTATCTACAGGTGTGCGTGTGAGAGTTGCTTATGTAGTTGAGTCACAGTATTATATAGGGTGAAATTGAATGTTTTAATCACGGTTTTAATAAAACTTCGTGAGATTGTTGGGTTACGTGTATAGAGTACACCTGATTGTTTTTGGATTTTTTGAAGTATTTACTCCTTAAAAATCGATTTGCATATATAAGGGGCCCGGTATGAGAAAAATGTGAGGTGTAAAATCTATCGATTAATGACATTAATGACCTCGTTACGTTTTTGTGCGCAACCTCATCTGCGCACCTTTCACTTTTAGCCATGGCAACGGATAAAAAACATTAAGTTGTCACGAATGTCAATACAATAAATAAACTAAAAATAGATAAAATCGGAGCAAAATTAATGAAAACAAATAAATAACAGAATATAGAGAAATGCCGGTAAGTGTCCAGCTCTCTGGAATAGTGATTTTCAGTACAGATGGAATTATAATACATATTTACAAAATGATGACTAGTGTGTGATATTTATGAAATTGTGTGTTTCTAGAAATACATAATAAAATAAATGATGAATATCGCTGATGTTAGATGATAAAATGTGTGACATGGAACCTATGATAGTCGAAACCATGGGACGATACCTCAGGAAGGTATCTCTACTTGTAACCGACTTTTTTGGACTTGATTTTGTTTTGTGTCTGTTCAAAGACAATCGTTTTTAGAGTGTAAACTCCGGTCGTGCGTCGGAGCTGACACACACAATTTTTTTTTTCATGTATTCATTTATAATTTGTGTATTTTTATGTCCTTAACTCTTTTTGAGTAGTTATTCATTTTAAACAAGCATACTTACATATTCAGTGAAAAACAACTAATAAATAAGCATTTCTAAAAAACGGAAAGACAGTAAAATTAAGCGGGCGCGGCCACTGCGGGTCAACGACCGGCCGCGCCCGCCAGCCGTTGAGTGAGTAGGCACACAGAGTTCAGCTGACTCCTTTGATTTCACACAATACAATAAAATCGTCTTAGATGCCTTTATTGAAATAATAAGCACAAATGTCATCTTCTCTTAAGCAGAGAAAAACTTAAAAAGTTAATAATAATTTTGTCAAGATTGGAAATAGGCAAATGTTAAACAAAAAGAAATACTTATTGCAGTTCAATACTTGGGTCAGAATAAAATTTAAAACCAGTTATTCAAAAGTACTTACGTACCTATTTATTACCCGTTATGTACCTATTCATTTATTTCACTATAACTTCTCGTATACACTTTGTAAACAGAATCAGTCACCAAACCTACTTTCGTAAAGCCTTGTGACTCTGCTGAGTATTCCGTGACACTTGCAATAACAACACACCATATCCAAATTCTTATATTGAGGCCACAGAACAAGAACTAATCAAGGCATTATTTGCAAATCTTGTCTTGTCACAAATTTAAAATATACGCACGCGCGGTGGATAGACTTGAGACTCCGCTCGCTCACTGCCCTGTGCACTGCGCATAGGTAGGAAGGTATTCAACGGAGGGAGCGGTCATTGCTCCCCGCCGCCCGTCTCCTGTTTTTACGTGTTTTTTAGTTGTGCTTATTAGTTGTTTTTTACTTACTCTTAATGCGTGTTTAAAAAGAATAATTATTAAGTACCCAAAAGGACGAAAGGACTTAAAATATAATAAAAAAAATAACAAAAATTTATTTTAAATCATTTTTAAAAAATTCAGAGATACTCTATATACGTAACCCAACATTTCCACGAAGTTTCATTAAACATTCAATTTCACCCTATATATTTGACTAAAGTAAGAGCGTACCGTAACTTCCCTTTTAATCTAAGTAAAACGTGTATTCTTTAGGTATATTATATGATAAAGTCAACATCCTCAGACAATATTCTATGGCCACACGATCGACCCGGCACCCACACCCGTAAGTCCATGAATTACAAAGAAGTTCGTTTACATTGTGATGTTTGATGATGTGTTACTTTGATATATCCTGTGGTAATACCACTTCCTTCTTCGGTGCGATCAATAAAATTCAATAGTTTTACGTAGTGTACATCATGAACAAGTATATTTCCACATCTCATGCACGTCAAATCTTTCATCATTTAGTAACAGAACCATTATTTATAACATCAGCTATCCAATCAATGTAACGACTAACTGGAATGACGCCGCCTCCAAAAGATACAGTTAGTTGTTTGTGTGTATTTTGGTATGCATTACATAAATCGATTGCCGCGTAAGAATTTACTGCTACTATACCAGAAGGGTGTATCACTGGGCCTCCAGAATCTCCACGACATAAAGTGGCCATATCACCGCATTTCGGACTGAGGCACAGACTACTGAAATCAGAGCACTTCTTAATGACCACGTAGACAACTTGTAACGCAGTGCCCAGTTCGGCGACATGGCCTACTTTATCACCATCATTCATGATCCCGAAACCAAATACACGTGCAGCATGACCAACTAACGTGGCAGCGTCTAGAACACTGAGTCTGCCGTACTGCTCCAGTACTATCAGCTCTGTTTTTAGGAGAGCAATATCATTCCTGAACAGTTTATTGATATTTGCCAAATAAGATGGATGAATTCGTACATCACTGACATTGCTGTAAGAGTAGTTACCGGATGGGAAATTGGGGCCATATCTGATTATCATTTTGAAGTTCCTTTTAGCACAGTGGGCGGCAGTTAGAGTCCACGTTGGCTTTAAAATTGTACATGTGCATGTATACACCTTTTTGTTTTTTTTATTCCGAAGGTGCATCAGAGCAGCAATGTAAGGATATAATAATAATAAATAATAAATAAATATTTACAACACTCACACCAATTAGCCTAGCCCCAAAGTAAGCTCTGTAGGCTTGTGTTATGGGATACTAGGGTAACGGATAGAATACATATACTGTACATATATAAGTATATTTATATAGAAAATACATATTAAACATCCATGACTGGAGTACAAATGCTCGTATTCATCGCACAAACATCTGCCCCCACCGGGATTTGAACCCGGGACCTCTCGAGTCGGCGACACATGAAACCCGGCGTACAAACCACTCGGCCACGGAGGTCGTCATGGATGGTCGTCGTGGTCAAAGGATATCGTTTAAAGGTCCTCAAAATATTCTTAAAGCTGGATCGACAAACTTCAAAATGATCAAACATATTGTGAAACCGAGTACTAACTTCATTGTTCAGATGTTAAAGGGCAATTATTTAATGTTGGAAACAAAAAGAATAACTTTGTTCGTTTCTTAAGTTTTCACGCACACCACTCATTCAATGAAACACGCTTAAACAAAAATTATTAAAATCAAAATAATTCTATCGACGCAGTCTGAAAAGGATGCAAATTGTCGAAAAAGTAATAAAAAGACGCACTTTGAACCCGTTTAAACGTGTTTCATTTAAAGAATACATTTGTATGTTATCAACAGTTTCAAAATAAGAAATTCCAGAACTCAAACTTTGTCGACTCAATCAATTTTATTTTGTTGGGTATTATCGTACAGTGCGTATTATTAAAACATATCATGTTATGGGTTTTTTACTGTTATAAGAAAATAAAATTTAATGGAAGAAAATCACAATTTCGAAATCATAGAGAACTAACATGAAAAAATACATTATAACAATAAACCAAAGGCCCTGTAAATGTTAAATAAATGTCCACTATGAACGGCGAACTTTTAATCTTCGGACAGTGTTAGGCACCTCGCTATCCCTCGTCTCGCAATCAATGATTGTAAATTTAACGCATTTGAAGCAAATTTTGTTCTAATACTTACTATAAACTGATTTAATAGAAAATATTTGTGATATTCATATGCATGGTCGGTTGAATAGACTTCTATGACTCACAGTCACAGCGCATTCAGAATTGCGCGTAGAGTCATAGAAATAAAGTCATAAAGCAATAAATCGAACATGTTACGAGCTTGTATTTCGAACTATCATAATTCTTTGACACATGCGTTTTAATTAAGACATCATACAGTATGCATTAAAAGTGACTTCCAATCTATATCTATACATATAAATAATATTGAAATAAGCGCTTTCCACTACATGCATATGATTATATATATACGGTACATACACCAAAATATCATTTTTTGCGATTTTTGTCTGTCTGTCTATTTGTTCCGGATAATCTCTGAAATAGCTGGACTGAATTTGACGGGACTTTTATTGGTAGGTAGCTGATGTAATGAGGAGTAACTAAGGCTACTTTTATTTTAGAAAAAAATATTTTATTATAATAAAAAAAAAAGTTAACGCGGGCGAAGTCGCTGACGGCCGCTAGTGTATAAATAATGCCTTATTATATTGTTTTTGACAACGCGGTCATCTTACGGCGCTCCGTGGATGGTCCAATGTACCTTTTAGACTGGTTTCGGACACGGTTTTGTTCGTGTTGGTGTATCTAGGGTATTTAATATCGTTGATCACTAGATCTGCTGAATTTTATCGCGCGAGCGCTCAAAGGAAACTATTCATAAGTTGGTAGCAATGACCAGTCGTGCCGGCCCGGTGTGAAACCAGTTCAACGTTGCGGCCAAGTGCGTGAATAATTGAATATCATATGGTTTTGTTAGTAAATCTTGTCGTTGCTGCCTGGTCGAAATCGTGGCCATCTAGTGCGCGATGTGCTTAACACCGTGCCCGTAGTTTAAAGCTTATTATAAAGTGTCTGATTATATAACAGACAAAAATGCTTGGGTATGAACTGTTCCAACCATCCCAACGGGTATTTCTATATGATATATACTATGAATTAAGTGTTGACAATACTATAATTAAATTTGAAAGCAGTATATAAAGTTGATAACTTAAGGAAGATTATCAGACTGTTTAAGAATATTTGATTGACAAAACGGCGTGGTCGTGATTTCTCCATTGCATTGTTTGCGGTATCGTTCAGGTAAATGACCTTAATTTAAGTTAATATGTTGTAGTCAGTATGGGTAGTTATGGGTAGACATGCTCTCTTAATAGTCTCTTCGGCGTAGTCGTGTGAGGCGGGTCGTTACGTTCCCTAAAATATGGTTGAGCGAAGCGATGGCTGGTTCATGCGTCATGCTCGTGAACGTAACGTAACTTCCTTAATATTGAAGTTAATGTTTAGTCACACTTAATATATAGGTAAATAACACTGTTTGTATTTATACTGTATGACACAGCAATCAAAATGCAGGTAAACAATTATTGTATATTTAATCATTATGCAATGAAAGGTGATTTCATGAATCATCTCTGAAGTCATTTTTCAATTTGACGACTCTGTCAATAATAAAACAGCCCTTGTTGAGTTTCTTGCCGGTTCTTCTCAGTACAAGGTCTCCCGCCGTAGATTTACGAACCGATCGATGGCGTAGCTTCTAGACATTCATGAGTGCTTGTAGCAGCCTAAACTGAATAAATGCTTTTGATTATGATTACGATTTAAAAGTTTGCCGTTTTTAGTGTACAGCAATATAACGTACTAGTGACCCGCCCTCGCTTTCCTTCGGTGTAGAGCTGTAATGTAGACCACAGTTTTTGTTCAAAATCTTGTATTATACACAATGACTTTATTCATAATAATTGTAAACCACCCACCCATTCCAAGTAAAAATTCGTTGCGTAGTTTAGGACCCGTTGTACCGAATGCAAAATTGCTCTCCTGTTCCGAGTTGACAAAAATATTTTTGTATTGGATAGTGGATTTGTCGAGGAAGGCTATAGGCAATATTATATTACCAGGCTAGGACCAGTAGCAGCGGAGCATCGATGGAAAATGTTGCATAAGCGGGTAAAAATATTCCATTGGTGAGATTCCGTTGCGTGCACTGGATGGGTGGATGTATGACGGAATTCTTCCCCTTTAAAAGTTCTGTAAAAAAGTCCAAGACAGCCTGTGTCCATATTTTAAGTTTGACTCACTATAACCTTTTCCTTCAAATTAACGCGGGTGAAACCGCAGGGGACCTCTAGTTGTGACATAATTGTAATAGTTAGACATATGGTATTGCCTACTTTTTTGTAGATATTGGTATCTCCTATAAAACTTTAGTACATTACTTTGCTCTATTGTCAATGACTTCCGCAGCGTATAAGGCTATTTTTTACACATCTTTGATTATATAATCGAAGTTTTCATACAGAACCCTAACTTTTTTGAAAATATAATATAGCCTATATTAATGAGTGATAATGCAGCATTTAAATGGTAAAAGAATTTTTAAAATCGGTCCAGTACTTTTTGAGCCAATTCGTTACAAACATACTTACATACAAATCTTTCCGCTTTATAATATTAGTATAGATATAGATAGGGGCAATCGTTCATTGTTATGAGTATTTTTTCTCACAGTTCTGTATGATTTCGAAATTCTCATTTTCTGGCATAATATTTTATTTTATTAAAAACAGTAAAAATCCCATAACAACATATTTTTAATAATGTGCACTGTGCGATAAGACTAAATAAAATAAAATTTATTGAGTAGACAGAAGTTTAGGTTCTGAAATTTCTTACTAGTGAACTATTAGTTACATACAAAGGTATTATTTTCACAATATGTTTAATCATTTTGAAGTACGTCGATCCAGCCTTAAGAATATTTTGGGGAAAAGATGCGAACCACAAACGGTACCCTTACATTGCCGCACTGGTTCTTCACAATAAAACAAACGAAAATATGTATTTATGCACATGCACAATTTTAAAGCCAACGTGGACTCTAACTGCCACTCACTGTGTTAGGGAGAACTACAAATTTATAATCGGTAATGGCCCCGATTTCCCATCCGGTGGCTTTTCTTACAGCAATGTGACTGATGAACGAATTCATCCATCTTATTTGACAAATATCAACAAATTGTTTAAGAATGATATTGCGCTTCTACAAATTGCGCCGATAGTTCTGGAGCAGTACTCAGTGTTCTAGACGCTGCCACGTTAGTTGGTCATGCTGCACGTGTATTTGGTTTCGGGATCATGAATGATGGTGATAAAGTAGGCCATGTCGCCGAACTGGGCACTGCGTTACAAGTTGTCTACGTGGTCATTAAGAAGTGCTCTGATTTCAGTAGTCTGGGCCTCAGTCCGAAATGCGGTGATATGGTCACTTTATGTCGTGGAGATTCTGGAGGCCCAGTGATACACCCTTCTGGTATAGTAGCAGTAAATTCTTACGCGGCAATCGATTTATGTAATGCATACCAAAATACACACAAACAACTAACTGTATCTTTTGGAGGCGGCGTCATTCCAGTTAGTCGTTACATTGATTGGATAGCTGATGTTATAAATAATGGTTCTGTTACTAAATGATGAAAGATTTGACGTGCATGAGATGTGGAAATATACTTGTTCATGATGTACACTACGTAAAACTATTGAATTTTATTGATCGCACCGAAGAAGGAAGTGGTATTACCACAGGATATATCAAAGTAACACATTATCAAACATCACAATGTAAACGTACTTCTTTGTAATTCATGGACTTACGGGTGTGGGTGCCGGGTCGATCGTGTGGCCATAGAATATTGTCTGAGGATGTTGACTTTATCATATAATATACCTAAAGAATACACGTTTTACTTAGATTAAAAGGGAAGTTACGGTACGCTCTTACTTTAGTCAAATATATAGGGTGAAATTGA